TAATTTATCGATGATCCGCGTAAGACCTTTACGGTTATACGCGTTCGCTCATATCGGAAGCTGGTAGTTAATAACAAATATGTTGATACATAATAATTGTCCATCACTTAAAGTTAGAAGTATATACTAATTTATTAAAAAAAAAACAATTTCCTTTTCGAATAAGAATTTTGGAAGAATCTATGAAGACTTCGCAAGTCCAATCACTTTTTAGCAATAAGTAAAATACATGGACCTTGTCATTTGGAGATTCAAGTTTGACCAAATATAGACATAAAACCAAACACAAGAGACTTTTTCTCCCTTCCTTTCCCTTGTCTGTTTCCGCATCTAGCAATATTGATATTGCCAATTAGGAACTTTTTAAAGATTATTATGGTTTTAATTATGTACCATTTTTTCTTTAATATTACAATTTTGCGAAAATACATTGGCTTATTACAATTTTCTTTTTTAATGCTAAAAGATTCTTGATCTAAATCCGTACGTATGTCTCTTCAAGCCGGGCCACTCGAACCAACGACCTAGATAATTTACAAATTTTGTGTTCAGTTTAATTAAATCATATATTTTGGATTAGAAGACAACTAACTTAAATCAAACAAATCAATTATAACTACTTTTTCTATGTTTTCGAAATAAAAATATGCATAGTTGGGAAATTTAGTATCAGCCAAGCCTACATTTTCTTAGATGAACCGAGAAAAATTATGTATCAAGTCAATTTTCATATTCTTAAATAAATAAAAAATCTAAACCGTATATTGTTTAGTTTTACATGTCTTTGACTCTTTGGATTAAGCACGTCAGTTAGATTATACGCATTTTTCTCATCTTAATTTTTAGCTTCACAAATTGCCGAATCAAAATACGTCTACAAGAAAACAGGCAAAATTCCGACGGTCAAATCCGTCGGAAAGCCGTCGGAATAAGCCCTATTCCGACGGCTTTCTGACGGTTTTGACCGGTCGGTTCTATCTCGTCGGAAATAAAAATTCCGTCGGAAAT